AACTTTTATTGAAATAAGCAAGTGCAAATACAAAAGAGATTATCCAGGATCTAGGATTCAAGAAGCAAGAGCTTCAAGAACACAAAGATGGGATTAGAGCTCTAAAAAGTAAAAGACAATAAATTAAAAGAAACTAAAACAATAATCTAAAGCTTGGTGGTTTTTTCGTGGCTTTTAGCCTTAAATACAAAGAGGATTAGGTTTAGGGTCAAAGGAAAGTCAAGGGGGAAGCAACATTTTTCGGGTTTGACTGTTGACTTCTCAGCTCGATCGAGTTGAAGCTTGGCCGGTCGAGTTGAGGAACTCGACCGGTTGGTCGAGTAGATGGTCGAGCTGGTCTTCAAGATGGCTTCCTCCTTCTTCCTTTGCGTATCCAGTTGAGCTGCGTCCATGTGCCAAGTCCTTCCTGCTCCTCACGTCCCATATGCTCCAAATGCTCCAAAAGACCTATTTCAAGGACAAACATGCATATGTATGCAAATGCAACCTAAAACTACTATGAATGCATAAGAAGAGAAAAGGAACAAGATATGATGCTAATGGATGCTAAAACTATGCAAAAGATGCATAAAAGATGTACTAAAACTATGCAAAATGCAAGTACATCAACACCCCCAAACTTGAACTTTGCTTGCCCTCAAGCAAACAAATAGAACAAGAAAGAGATGAGGTTTGAAAACAAGTTGATTCAACACTTAAAAACATGTCCTCAAAAGCGATTTGCTAAATGTCCAACTTAGAGATTCTAGAATGCAACAAGGTGAGAGATATTCATTAAGATTTAACCATGCTTATCAACATCAATCCCACTTCACAGTCACTCAAACAATGCATTCAAATCAGCAAATCCCTTTAACATTCATTAAGCAAAAACAGTGAACCAAAAACATGCAAGATCAATCAACTCATTTGGTTTCAAGGGTTTATGGGTTAAGAGACAAAGAGGGTCTCTTTTGTATGGTGGTTTAGTAACAGGGATCTCTCAAGAAAGTGGCTTTGCTTTGGCAGAAGGCTAAGTGTTAGAACCAAAGATGATGCAAGAACAGCAGCTCGAGCCGCCTAATCCTAACTCGATCGAGTTCAACACTTAGAGCTTTTTAGAACAAAATCCTAACTACCCTTTTTGGCATTTCGCCTTTGACAGCTGATGGCGGGTTTAGATTGCCTCAAATTTTCACAATTTATAAACCCAACTAATGAGCTGCAAGTGCACAGCCGTGTTGTAGTCGGGGTCGAACACGAGGAGGAAGTGTTCTCACTTAACACCTTGTGAGATTGGTTTAGCTAGCTCGCAATATGAGATGGTTTTGGACCTAGAATGAGAAAAAACAAAAGAAATGTGAGTGAGGTTGTAAACAATTTAAAACAAGAGTTAGGCAAAGGACAATCATATGGAGCAATGATGAAAAGATAGTTGCATGGGATGTGTGTAGAGCCGTCTTGAACATGAATCACTAGTGTATGGTCTTTCCACTGTCGTGGCTCCAACCACTATGTTTAAAACAACCTAATATACTCAGCTTTCGTTGGCTATTAGAATTGCAAACATGCATTAAAGGTGATCAAGATTCAATTGTTCACAATGAACCATAACTCAGCTTTCGTTGGCTATGATCTATTGCTCACCAAATACTAGTTTTGAGATCTAGATTCAGCACTGTCGTGGTTCTATTTCTCTAAGATCAGATTACTAGATGTACGGTAGAGTAATCATGCATTAAGCTCAAGTAAAGGTGAAGATCCATAAGATAAATCCCAATAAGTTGCAACACAATCAAATCATCACGGCCACCATAGATCTCCTCGGCCTAACTAAGAGATCTACTCGGCCATGATGCAAACAAGCAAGCAAAGCATGATTGTAAACATTATGCAAGTATTAAAAGAGATAAAGGGATGAAGAAAGCTTCTCTATTGATGAACAAAGTCGGATTCTCCCTTGAAAACTCTTAAAATCAAGTTTATAGAAATGGAAACAATGAAAAAGAAAGAACAAGAGTTGAGCGGCGCCTCCTTCTTCTTGGACGATCTCCTAGGGCTTCTCTCCTCTGACTCTCTTCTCACACGTACACTCTTTGATAATTTTCTGAAGGAAAGCTCCAAACATTAGCCAGGCCTCTTCACGTCGTGTATTCGATCCAAGGCCTTTGGCGCTGCTGCTCGGGCCATTAGACACTCCAAATCCTCCATGGGCTTCGTTTGCTCGCTTACCGGACATGTCTCGGTAGAAAATAAGTTCTAGGCCTCATAGTTGATCCAAATGGCTTCATTCCACTTCGACGTGATGCATGACTCAAGTATCTATCTTTCCATATCAAGATCGTAACTTTTGGACGTCGGGAACTCCTCCGCGCGCGGCCAAACTTCCGAAGCTTCGTTCTGCGCGCAGCGAGAACTAACACTTGGAGATAAAATGATCTTCTTGACTTGGAAACTTGCATGGATCTTGATTTAGGGCTCTTTTACTCCTTTTTGCATCCTTTTTGATTTTCACCTACAAAGACTTCAAATCCCACAAATACAAGAAAACTACCTCTAAAGGCAAAGAATCTTGCAAAAACCGTTTGAAAACATAGTAATTATATAGTAAAATCATGTAAAATATGGTGATATCAACTCCCCCAGACTTAGCCTTTTGCTTGTCCCCAAGCAAACTAAGCAGGAAAAGAGGTTTGAAAACGTGAGAACTCTCAAATCTTTTGGAAATCCAAATTGACTTATGCTTTAGTAATCCACATGAAACAGCATTGGCAAATTTTGAATTAAGAACAAAGTACATACCATGAGTTTTGCGATTTTCCCAAAGCGGTCCACCTCTCCTTGGACAATCCAATTCGCCACCCTTGACTCCTTTCATTTCTAAAGGTGTGGTCTCAACTAGGGAGTATCGATCAGCCGGCTTTAGACTCTTACTCATCCCCTTGTTTGGCACTTGTCTTTTTACTCCATGTTTCTCCTCTCTCTCTTCTCACTTCTTTGAGTTGATTCATCCCTTTTTTAGGGTAGCGAAGTATTTTTTTATTCAACTCCTTCTCTTTATTATAGAGGTTTTGCTTGGATCTTCCACAGACGCGAGTATTGATGGTGTTTGCCACCGAATCCCCGGTTGCTTGGATTCATAGGCCTTCCATAGACGCGAGTATTGATGGTGTTTGCCACCGAATCCCCGGTTACTTGGACCTTACGCTTTTTCTTTAAATTTGAAGGGGAGAGAGAGGGAAGCACGAACTCACTAAGACTTTTTCATTTGATGGAGAGGATGAGGAATCATGCCATTTGTATGCCAAGCCCCTAGCTGAGAAGATTAAGTTCATTAAGGGCGGAGTCAAAGATGGATCCTTCTCAAGTCTTTAGAGATGTAGGCGTTTTTGGTAGATCGATCAACTCATAGTGCACCTGTGGTAAGATGTATTGCCAAGAACTGCTCAATGGTCACTTAAACATTAGTACAACATGGTTAGATCCAAGATAAGGTCATGATTCTCGACAAAAATTTTGACTCAATAAAAACGACTCGATAAAAGGGAAAAATGCAAATGAAAATGCCAAAATGAACAAACATTGTTAGTAATCCCCCCAGACTTAACTTGCACCGTCCCGGTGAAATAAATCGGATTAAGAGAGGCATAACATGAAGTTCAAATGAAAAATTGAAAAGAAAAAGGTTTAGGATGATGTTACCAAATGTCGACCAATTTATAATGAAGATCAGTTCCGGTTTGGGTCATTCTACACTTCTTTAGGCAATATTGGTCGGTGAGTTTTTAATTTCAGGCCTTGGTTTCCGCCGGTTTGTGTTTTGGCCGAGATTGGTATATTCGGTCGGCCAAAATGTGGTGCTGTGAACTACAGAACAAACCGTCAAAATTTCATGACCTATATTGAAATTTCATCGACCAACCTGGTATTTTATGCCTCTGGTGAAGTTTGGGAGCATTTGACGAGCGGATTGAGACTTCCTTCACAAAATGGTCAAGTCGGCTCCGGGAAGGAGTTTCCTTGGCCATGTGAAGTTTGGCTCGTTCCTTTTCGTTTCTTCCTGCATAAAAGTGTTAGTTAAGCTCAAAGAAGAGTTTTCCAACCGGTTGGCGCGCCTATGCCGTGATTTGGTTTTGTCGGCCATATTGCTTGCGCGCCATCGGCCAGAATGAGCTCCGTCGTCTATCTCATGATCCGTGATGATTTCTCCGTCCTATCTTTTGGATTTGCCGACCAAAATGTGATTTTATGGTCGCCTGTGAAGTTTGGTGGACTTTGGTCACGCCGTTTAGGAGTTGGCCGTAATTTGGTCTCCTTGTGCGCGGTATGGCCGAGAGAAATGTCCGGATTGAATTTCTTCAAATCCACTCGGGCCAATTGAGATTTTCTTCGACCGAATTGTTTTAATAACCCTCCTGTGTCATTCCCAAGTGGTGGCCGCCTTGTTTCGTGTGATGGCCTATGTATCTCCTTTTAACCTCCCTTTGGCCGCCATATGCATGTTGGTTTTAGGTGGTTATAGGTTTGCTTATTTCTCCTTCCTGTCAAATGGTTAACTCCTTGCAAAACACTTGAAATCATGATTAGATGGTTTCTCAGATTGTGATCCTCAAGTGACCAACTTGAAGTTCACAATCCAAGAGATTAAAGCACAAACTATAAATTCTTATTTGGTCTTGGTCAATGATCCAAATTTCAAACTATAGTTCAATCTCTTGTAATTTCAGTGAGCAAAATGAGTTTTGACAAGTGATTATGTATTCTTTCCAATCATCAAAGTAAATCAAGTTAAACCATGAAATATATTTGATAAAGTGCAATGGTTTAAACGATTTTTCAAGTGAAGATCAAGAGTGATTAGAAATGAATACTAGGTGAGAGTTTACTTACCTTTTGGAAGAGAAACGCCTTGTACAAGGGTGGGCTCATTGGGTGGGACACTTCCATTGTTTGGTCTCCTTTGGGTCTTCATCCTAAGAAAATATTTTTGTATTTTTGTTTGATTTTTGAAAAACTCCTGCAAAATAGAAATAGATAGTTAAAAACCATATGGGTTGCCTCCCATAAAGCGCTTTTGTTTTAAGTCATTTAGCTTGACTCCTTTTCTTTCTTTCAATCGTGGTGAAGAGTGGCTGAAGGGCAAAGGATCCCTTTAGCTTCTCCATTCTCCGGTTCAGTGGATTCTTGTGGTGGTGTTGTCGCGCCATGTCATCTCTCACATCATCTTTGAAAACCAATGCCTTGGGGAAAAGCTTCATAGTTCTCTCAAGCTTCTCTTCAATGGATTGGTCACCTTTAAGCTCCGAATCTTTTGGTGTAAAGATTCTTATCTTGTGAAAGAGATTAGGTGCACCATTAGTCTCCTCTTCAGCTCCATACTCGTCAAAGGTTGGAAGTAAGATGGAGTTGATTTCCTTAAAGACATTTTCATGCCTCGGCTCCAATGTTTTCTTCTTCTCCTTTGGTTTTGGGTAGCGCTCACTCTCTCTTCTTTCTCCATGCAGCATATTCTTTCTTGGTAATGAGAGTGGCTTCTTCTGGTGGTAGCTTGGTCGCACTTGGCACTGACCTGAAATTTACACTTGGGAAAAAGATATCTTGCCGGATGTGGCCAAAAGATATTTTGAGTTTCCTCTGTTTGGACTCGATCAAGTCCGGTGGTCGAGCTGGAGCGTATGGCCTTAGAGCTCTTCCTCCTTCTCTGTGAGTTGTCTTCTCCTTCCCTTGGCTCGAATGACGAGGCTCTGTGAGGCTCTTGGGCAGGGAGTCTCCTTGGGGTGGTGAGGAGTGATCTACTCCTAGGGAAAGTAGGGGCCATTGGTGCCTTCTTCTTCTTGGATGAAGAACCAGAGACCTTCTTCTCCAAACTCTTGATCTTGCTCACCATCTTATCCATGGACTTTTGCATCTTGTCCATGGCCTTCCCTTGCCACTTGTTGAACTTTTGGAGAAGTCCAATCCTCTTGTGGGCAGCCACAACAGAGGGGTTCATCCTTGGAGCCTCATACTCCTCAAAATAGTAGCACTCAGGCTCACCCAAATCCGCGCTCTCCTGGACTCGATCCTCAGCTTGAGACTCAGCTCGATCCTCAACTCGATCGAGTTCAGGCTCCTCTTCTTGCAAATCCGTTTCATGCCCAACCAATGTGTAAATTGGAGGGCTGAAGTCAATGTTGTTACCTCCTAGACCGTGGTGAGCTCAGGGTTGGGCAAGAAGCTTGGAAGGGCCAGCCAATGGATGAGTGAACTTGAATTGGAACTTCCCATCCAATTCCTTGTGTTCAATGAGGAGGTTGGTCTTGCAAAACTTGATGTCCATCCATCCTGCTGGAGTAGACCTTCTCTTGTTCAAATGGACTCCAGCTGCACAAAGGATTGGTGTGATCACCCCTCCAACACTTAGCTTTCTTCGTTTGGAACCTAGTGTTGTAGGCCGTGACCTTGTAGGCGAGTAGCTGCTCAAGGAGAGGCATGAGGTTTCCTGCATGTGCCCTATCTCCTCTGATCTTCTTCCCATCCCTTGTGCGTGAGATGATAGGCTTGATTCCCATGTCAAGGAGCTTCACTTCTCCTTCATTGATTGTCCAGTGGCTTTCCTTGCAAAGAAGGTGTTTGCAAGAGCCTTGTGGACATATCTCAGCACAGGACTTCTGATCTGGGCAGCCTTAGACCTTGAGGAAGAGTACCCCTCTTCAGCGATTGTAGCCCATACTCTTTGGAGTTCATCTTCCTTGATGTTCCATAGGTTTCCTTCTCCATAAGTGAACCCAAACAGTATCTCAAGCTGCCTAAAGGTGACCATCTTCCTTTCTCCTCTTTGCCAAGAACGTAATCCATCCCCAGCCTTGGTCCAACTCAGCTCGATCGAGCTCACTATACTCGTGAACCTCATCGACGCCAAAAACTCACAAGTGAGTTCCTTGTATGACTCCAAGCGGTAAGAGAAGAACTTTGCCAATTGCATGTTCTTGAGCACCAACTCCACATCCTCAAAGATCCCAAGGTCTCTCATGGTGTCATCATGTGGGTACTTGGTCTCCACAAAGCCCATGGAGAAGAGAGCATCGTAGTGCTCTTGGTACATGGGGAGCTCATCCTCTTCCTCTGATTCAGCCTCCTCCATTGGCACATTCTCATTGCTCTCATGCACACTTCCCTCAATCTCTTGATTGACCTCTTCTCCTTCCTCTTCACTCTCAGTCTCATCACTTCCTTCTTCACTTGGAGAGCCATTATCCTCCTCTTGAACAAGGTTCACTCCAATCTCAAACTCTCCTTGTTCACTTTCACTACTAATGGGGTCATTCCTCTTCTTGGTTCTCCTTTCCTCTCTCAATCTCTCGTTCTCAGATTGCTCCTCAGAGTAGGCTTGTTCCCCTGCCTCAGACTCTTCTATCTGCTCATTTCTCTTCTCCCTCAATATCACATACTCCAGCCCTTCATCTATGGACATCCTCTCTCTCATTCTTCTTGCTTTCTCTGCCCTTTGCTTTCTTCCCATAGCTGCTTGGCTTCCCTCACCCCTCAACATCTTGAACTTGTTGCTTCTTGAGGTTGAGTTCCTGAAATGCATCAAAAACTCAAGGAATTAGAGTTGTAATCGTTGGTTCGGCCAACTCGACCCACAACTCGATCGAGTCAAAAAACTCGAGTGACAAACTCGATTGAGTTGAGCGAGAACAGAGTAGGACCGAACCTATATCAAACAATAAAAGCTGGAAAAGATGCTTAATAATCAAATTGAACCAAGAACACTAAGTAAATGGAACAATAAGCAATTTTAGTGAAAACCCAAGCATCTTAACCAACACCAAACTCAAATTCAAGGTTTTAAACACATGCAACAAGTTAATATCAAAACAGAGGTGAGGTGAGGCAAATTCACAAGACTATAAACAAGAGATTGATATGAAAGCAATTCTTTCAAGAACAAACCCACAAGGGGCACATGCAATCAACATCAAAGAGAAAACAAGCAATAAAGAGAATCGAAATGAGGGATTCAGGGGTTTTTAGGGCTCATACCTTGCTTGTGGTGATGAATTGAAGAACAGAAACTAGAACCGAAGGAAACCAATGAAGAACAAGAGGAAATCGTGAAACTTAAGAGAGAAAGAGGGGAAAATCGATTTTGTTTCTTGTGGTAAAGAGAGAGAAAGGTGATTTCAGAAAATTTAGGGTGTGGGAGAGTGAGATTGGGGATTCGATCGAGTTAAGGGGAAGAGGGAGTGTTTGAGATGTGTGGTTGAGATTAAAAGGTGATTTGAAAGGGGGGAACAAAAGGCAAGGGTTTTTCTGATCAATTCAGGAAGTGGGGGACCAAAATTAACTTGTGGGACCCACTCCTTTGACCAAAAAAACGGTTACAAAATTTGAATTTTGAAAACATACCTTGGTCGAGTTGTGGAACTCGATCGAGTTACCCCGGTTTCTAGCTCGATCGAGCTGTCGGTCGAGCTGGTTCCTTTGTCACCTAAACTTGATTGGAGGGTTTTGGTTAGAGTTGAAAAGATGTGGGATACCTTGGAGGCAGATGTTGGTGAAGGTCTAAGCTTTCTTTTTGTGGATGAAACGGTTTGTTCTCAATCTATTCATATTCATATTTTCTCATATACAAGTTCTTTATGTTCCAAAATCATGTTCCTAATTGAAGTTTACAACTCTAACAGGGCACAAAGATGCATGCTTTTGTTGAACAAAGTAATCAGAGGAAAAGGTTCAAGAGATGTCTTCATGAAGGGGAGTGGAAGATTCTAACCGGATTTTCCGTGGTGATGGTGAATACAGAGATCCGTTTGACGGAAGCCAGAAACAAGATTGCTCTCACGTCCAACACCAGCGTCACACCCGCAGAGGACTCGGATGCTTGGATTCCGCTTGACATCGTTCCTTACGACTATGTTTCGAATTTTTGGAATGATGAACGAACTTCTTTCCCTAGAGGTTAGTTTTTCTTACTTAACATTTTGTATCATCTAAACGAGGAACCCTATAGGAAATGTAGCTTTCAATATGTTAATGTTATTTGGCATTTTTTTGTAGACTTTCTAGGGTTTATACTTGAAGTTCGTGAGACAATGCTCAGGGAAGATGTCTCTATTCCTAGGAACCCTTTAAACGATGATCCAAAGACCACTAACACAATAGATTTCACCCTACAGGACAACGAGTAAGTATATTTACACAAAACTAAATTGGAATAAGTTATGTATCGTTTCTGAATTCTAACCTGAAATACATACACTATTTGTGGCTACTTTAGTGGGGATCAAATACAGTGTCGTGTAAAGGGTGCCTTAGCATCTAAGTTTAAACGGTTTTGGCTTTACTATGGTAAAATTGAGACCATCGTATGCCTCTTAACCGATTGGCGGGTTCTTGAAGATGCCGGTTAGTGGATGAAAATTTCCAGTTACATCCTTGCTTGAATAATACTAATTTATTTATCTTATTTATCTTGATGGGATGTTATAACTTATATGTGTAGATCCTGCTCATATCGAAAGTGAAGAAGGAATCTCTAGATTTGAATTCAATCCTATTGGCTTTGATGAGGTTGACCATTTCACTGAGATAATGTAAGTATTCTACCTATGACTCTCTCTGATAACAAGAATTATGAAAAGGCTTAAAACTTGAATATTACAGCTTAATAAAACTAATGTGTCTATGCAGGTGCTCTTCCTCACAAGACAGCAGCAAAGAAGAAGTTGAAGAAATGGAATTTGATTATTTCAATGGCTGTAGAACCGACAACAAAAGTTGATGGACTTCAGGATATGCTCAAGCAAAATGTCGGAAGATATTTTAAGATCATGCATGTCGTCTACTTTTCTTTATGCAACTTATCTAAGACAACTATATATTAAACCTTTGTTTCATGTTTGGGAACCTTTGTAAACTTTTCTGGCTTCTATTTAACTATGTTTGATTTAATTTGTTCATAGCCTTTTCTAATAACATAACAATAGGTCACAACTAAAAATGAAACAAACAGGAAAACACGGATTGCAAAGGATTGAAAAACAACAAACATTTACCTTAGTATATTTTGCATCGTAGTTCTTTTATATTGAAGAACAATGTTTCCTTTTCAATCCTCTTCACGATGATTCCTACACAATGTTCAACTGTAAAAAATGTAATCAATGACAACCATCATAACTAAATCAATAATATAAAAACAAAGTTTACATATGTACGTAACCAATTAAATGAGAACTTATCTTAATATCGACTGACATACATCTATTCGAATATGTAATGATTCCGGCCGGTTACGTAGCAACCGCAACTTAATGAATACTCCTTTTCTGAAAATATCCGTATATTCAGTGAATTATCACAGGAAAATATTTAATCTTCAGAAAATCTTCAGGAAATATTTAAGAATCCATGATTAAATGCAACCGTCCACATAAACGCAACCCTAAAAGAAAATCATATATAAGCGGAATAATTCATCCGATTTCAATCAAAACTCTGTAAAGAAGAAAAGAAACCTAAAAAACAACTTCAATGGCAAACTTTGAGAGACTCGCCATGGTTACACCCAATGGAGATGATTCGATGATTTGAGTGAGAGTTGAGAACGTGTGGTCTACTCTAGATGTCGAGAATGGTGAAGGGCTCAGTTTCCTGGTGGTTGATGATGAGGTTTGTGAATAATTAACCTATACAGTTTAACATTGAGTGATTTTAGAGGTAAAAAATTTTAATGTTTTAATCTCTACTCATTTTTGCAAACAGGGCACAAGGATTCATGCATTCGTCCAGCATTTTGCTGATGCCAAGAGATTTAAGAGACTTCTTCAGCAAGGAGACTGGTTCACGATAACTGGTTTCTCAGTTGTTATTGTCCGGAATGAGATTCGTATGACTAAACAGAGAAAAGAGATCGTTCTCAAGCGAAACACAGAAGTTGGTGTTTCAGAATTGTTCAATGGTTTTATTCCGCTAGATTTGGTTCCATTTCAGGATGTTAAGAACGGAACTGTTCACGATGGAACTTCTTACACTAGAGGTTAATTTTCCTTACTAATACTATTGTCAAAGAGCAAAATGTTAAGATTAATTAATATCCTTTTGTTAAAGTTTGATACTTTGTTTTAAACGGTTTTTGTAGACTTTCTAGGCGTCATATCTTCTGTTTCAGATTTCGGCCTCACAGTGGATGACTCTATGCCTAGAAACATACATAACTATGATCCTAAGACCACCGGATCGATTGACTTTGTTCTTGAAGACAACGAGTAAGAATTTGATAACTACTTATTAGATCTTTTCCAAACTAAGAAATGTGTTATGTTATATGATTATGAATGTCACAATTTGATTGTTATGCAGTGGAAATCATCTAAACTGTCGTGCAAAGGGGATTTGGCGGTTCTCTTTAAACGTAATTGGCTATGTTATGGTGAAACCGGAACAAACATATGCCTATTAACCAATTGGCGTGTTGTTGGAAGAGATGGTTAGTTTCTTTGATAACCGAAAGTTACCTTCATCTTACGCTATAGCATCTCAATACTAACTAGATAATGATCAACCATTACCCTATAAACTACCAGGTCCTATTCAAGTTGAAGATGAAGAAGGGATTTCTACTTTTGAGTATGATCCTCCTGGACACCACGAGGTGGTACATTTCACGAACATATTGTAAGTATTAAAATTCTGAATGCTCAGAAAAATTACGAAAATAATTCCAGCAAAAAGATCTAGGATGATGAAGAACAAAAGATGAACAGTCAGATTCAAAATGCTTAAAATGATGAATCAAGGGTTGTAACATGCAACAGAGTGAGCGATGTGCTGATGGTAACAAGTGTTATGCTCAAACGAACAGTGAGGATGAGTAGATCTATGATTTCCAGGATGAGAAGATGAACAGACACTTGTGAAATGATGAACAAAAACGAAAATTGCAAGCATAAAGGGATAGAAAACTCAGCTCAGAGTGTGCTCTGATACCACTTGATGAACTCTTCCCTAGATCGGCACACTGAGACTGAGGTTGGATAGATTTGGCGTGAGCCGTGATGATGGAATGAGTTGATGATTGAATGGTTGGCTTGAGAGATTGCGGAAAGATCTCTAAAGCACCGGCCAGATCTCTAGAAGGATATTACTCACCAAAGAGAGAAATGGGATTTCAAAGAATATGACACATCTTTGAGAGGTTTGATCTAAGAGATTAAGGGAGTTTGAGAATAAAGACTTAGATAAATGATAACAAATTCGTCCAGCAACATATAAAGGGATGAGAAGAAGAGATGAGTCAAGGAACAAGCTCCAAGACCATCTGGGAAAGACACACAACATTAAATGAAAGTTTGAACACTAAAATAGACCCTTCACATGCCCTTAGGCGTGGATACTTCAAGGTGAATGGGCTGGGCCGAAATAATTGATAAAGGGAGGATTTGAAAGTGAAACTTAGGCCTCATTAAAAACCTTCTATGGAAAACCCGTTGGGACAAAACCATAGAAGGGAAAAAGAGCACACTAAGTACACTTGTCCCTTTATCAAGTTCCTTGGGCCATTATACAAACCAGGGTGGTTTGAATAACCTCAGTATCGCTCTGACCCAAGTAGCTAAGTATTCTTCCAATCTCTTGGTTGAATAGCTTAGTTCGCGATCGGTTGGAATGACCAAAGCTTCCTCAGCTACAAGCTGCTCCACGGCTACAAGCTGTCCATCCGGTTCCTTCTCCTTGTCTTGAGCAACCTCGGCCATGATCATATCATCCCCTCCCTCTTGAAAAAGATTTGTCCTCAAATCTGGATCATCTGCAAGAAAAGGAGATAAATCAGAAACATTAAAACTCAGACTGATGTTATACTTACCTCGAGTTTGCTGCTTTGGATTTCGTGGATAAGAGTCTGGTGGTTTCTCTGGAATTGGATTGGAACTTGTGAGCCACTCTTCTTGATGTTGGATCAGTGCTGCCTCTCCTCCTGATGCTGCTTTTCCTAAACTCTTATACTTTTCCATAGAACCTGCAACATTAGAACACTCATAAGTTTTAGTAAATAGAAAGGGTTCTAGATACTTACCTGGGGCTGGATAAATGTGTGGTTCCGCCCTAAACTCTTTCAACATGAAACATGTAGTGCTTAGTCCTTGTAGTTTTTGATCTGGTGGTTTAGACTTTGGTGGAATCTGTTCGGATTGAGCTTCTTTTTCTTTATCTTCTTGCTTCCATTGTTCTTCACTAGACCCTGTACCTGTCTCAACACTTTTGGAGAAAAGCAAGTGCATCATACAACTCATGGAATCATTATAAACAGGTTGAGAAAGTCTAACATGTACCTTTTTATTGCTAGGGACTTGAACAATTTCTTGCAAATCACAACAAACTTTGGTACCTTGATACAGATTGCTCGGTGTTTTGTTTGGCTGCTTAGGTTTGGGTTCTTCATGGTCTGCAGTTTCTTGATTAGTTTCAAGCTCAGGTCCAAGCTCCTTGTCATTGACACTGGGGTGCTTCATAGTCTCACTAGTCACGTTGGTATAGCTGCTTCCATCAATGTTCAGACTACAGACTTAATCTTGAACAAGGTATGGCGAATGAAGGAGATTCTCTCTTTTCTCCTCTTCCTCTGTTCGGACTTGAGCACTTAGAAGTCTTCTTGTCATAAGGAGCTTACCACGAACTGGTAATGCCTCATACTCCTCTGTGTCCTGAACAGTCTTTGGCGTAGGCTCTTCCTCAGATTCAATCTCGCCATTGTCTCTGATGATCATAAGTCTGCGGTTGGTACATTCAGTAGCATAGTGACCTCGACCTTGGCATTTGAAACACTTGAGATCTCGGGATCTTCCTGTGGAAACAGTTTCGCCCTTGCTTTTATCTTTCTCTGGAGAGGTGGGAAGAGGTTTGAGCTCTGGCTTTGATGGTAAAGGAAACTTGCTCTCTTGATTGAAACCCGACCTATGAGTGTCGGCTCCATAGCTAGATCGAGAAGGACCCTTCCTCTTAAGTTGTTGTTCCACAAGGACGGCCTTGTGTAGCATCTCCTCCAGGAATTCATATTGTTGCATCTCAACTCGATCCTGGATTTCACGGTTCAGGCCGCCTAAGAATCTGGACATAGTGGCCTCGCGATCCTCTGTGATATTGGCTCTTAGCAAAAGGGTGTCCAGCTCTTGGTAATAGTCTTCAACGGATCTGGTTCCTTGAGTGAGCTTGCGGAGCCTGGAGTGGAGTTCCCGGTGATAGTGACTCGGCACAAAACGTTGCCGCATGAGGCGTTTAAGTTCTCCCCAAGTCTCAATGGGATATCCTCCTGAGCGGTGGCGGCTAGTGACGGTCTGATCCCACCAGCTGAGGGCATAGTCATAGAAATCCGTGACAGCTATCTTGACCTTGTTGGCATCGATATAGTTCTGGCATTGAAAGATCAGTTCCATCTTCTTCTCCCAATCCAAGTATGCATCTGGATCGTTCTTGCCATGAAATGGCGGAATCTTTGCTTTGAACCCTCCCAAGTTCTCGGTTAAGAGATCTCGTTCTGTCCGCCTAGAACGCCGGTTGCTTCGATGGGACGACTGACCATGGCTTCTGTAATAAGCCTTGGCAAGGGGATCGTCAGGAGGTTTCCCTATTTCACTGGCCTGCTTTGATTTCTCTCCCTCAGAGATGACAACTTGGGCTTCAGGCACCTTGTCTTTTCCCTTGAGTTGATCGCGGATTGGTTTGAGCTCAGCAGCAAGCCTCTCAGTTAAAATCTTCGACATGGCTTCCAGGAGCACCTTGTTGTTGGCACTGACCCCAGAACTGGAATCATCCGACATGGTTCCTGAAAATTGCAAACAAGATTCTCGGCAGTCACTAGTTCATAGCAACAAGCAAACAATTCCGAAAAATTATGTAAACAATTTTAAAATTCATGAAATAAATTCTAAATGATAGATCAGGTGCTAATGAACCAGGATATGATGTCAGAATGCTCAGAAAAATTACGAAAATAATTCCAGCAAAAAGATCTAGGATGATGAAGAACAAAAGATGAACAGTCAGATTCAAAATGCTTAAAATGATGAATCAAGGGTTGTAACATGCAACAGAGTGAGCGATGTGCTGATGGTAACAAGTGTTATGCTCAAACGAACAGTGAGGATGAGTAGATCTATGATTTCCAGGATGAGAAGATGAACAGACACTTGTGAAATGATGAACAAAAACGAAAATTGCAAGCATAAAGGGATAGAAAACTCAGCTCAGAGTGTGCTCTGATACCACTTGATGAACTCTTCCCTAGATCGGCACACTGAGACTGAGGTTGGATAGATTTGGCGTGAGCCGTGATGATGGAATGAGTTGATGATTGAATGGTTGGCTTGAGAGATTGCGGAAAGATCTCTAAAGCACCGGCCAGATCTCTAGAAGGATATTACTCACCAAAGAGAGAAATGGGATTTCAAAGAATATGACACATCTTTGAGAGGTTTGATCTAAGAGATTAAGGGAGTTTGAGAATAAAGACTTAGATAAATGATAACAAATTCGTCCAGCAACATATAAAGGGAAGAGAAGAAGAGATGAGTCAAGGAACAAGCTCCAAGACCATCTGAGAAACACACACAACATTAAATGAAAGTTTGAACACTAAAATAGACCCTTCACATGCCCTTAGGCGTGGATACTTCAAGGTGAATGGGCTGGGCCGAAATAATTGATAAAGGGAGGATTTGAAAGTGAAACTTAGGCCTCATTAAAAACCTTCTATGGAAAACCCGTTGGGACAAAACCATAGAAGGGAAAAAGAGCACACTAAGTACACTTGTCCCTTTATCAAGTTCCTTGGGCCATTATACAAACCAGGGTAGTTTGAATAACCTCAGTATCGCTCTGACCCAAGTAGCTAAGTATTCTTCCAATCTCTTGGTTGAATAGCTTAGTTCGCGATCGGTTGGTATGACCAAAGCTTCCTCAGCTACAAGCTGCTCCACGGCTACAAGCTGTCCATCCGGTTCCTTCTCCTTGTCTTGAGCAACCTCGGCCATGATCATATCACATTTCAACTATGGTTTTATAATATCATATGTTCTTCAAAACGTTGTGAACTTTGTTAGTCTATGAGAATGATGTTTTAATACTTTTTTTCATTTTTGAGAACTACCTATATTTAGATTGTATATACGTTTGTCTTAATTCGTTCTTAGTTTATGCAAATAACCCAACAACGAAATTGTTAATCTAACGGAAAAATCAAGTTTCCCTTATGGTAACAAATTTAAATCACAACTAAAAACCTAAACTAACTGTAAAATCACGGATACCACAGAGATACGAAAAGGTGTCCAAGAACGTTTACCTGAGTATTTTGCAGTGAAGTTTTTTGGTATTCAACAGCAATGTCTCCTTTTCAATCCGTGCTTGACTCATGATCGCTCAGCCCGTCAAACATACAAGCAAGTAATGTGATTACGAAATGTTAAATAAATGCACTCCAAAACACGGGATTGAACATATACAAGTTTTAATTTACTTTGTAAAATCACGGATACCACAGAGATACGAAAAGGTGTCCAAGAACATTTACCTGAGTATTTTGCAGTGAAGTTTTTTGGTATTCAACAGCAATTTCTCCTTTTCAATCCATGCTTGACTCATGATCGCTCAGCCCGTCAAACATACAAGCAAGTAATGTGATTACGAAATGTTAAATAAATGCACTCCAAAACACGGGATTGAACATATACAAGTTTTAATTTACTTTGCAATTCATTTGATTCTGAGCATCTTAAAACCAATCTAAGGAAGAATTAAGTTAATCTTATTTGATTTATCTGATCTAGGAGGCAAGTTAAAATCGAAGTCTTGCTTCAGGGAAGGAAATTGCGAGAGCTTAGAGGTTTACCTGACCTAGAGAACGGAGACGCAAGGGAACAGTCCCGTCAGCTGCAAAGATCGATTTTGCTGGGTTCTTTTGAGTAGAGCATAGGATTTTCCAATACGAAGAGAATTAGAAGCTCTTACATTAGGTCAGACCACAAAAATCCTTTCTTTGATCGATTGAGATTTCGTCAATTGGAGAATTTCAGTAACCTAGACGAGCGGAGAAGTGTTTAATTATCTATGTGGAGAACGGGACGAGCATGAAGGAAAAAGATGATGCGATATCGCGAAACAAAGAAATGGTAACGGCGATTGTCGGCTCATTTCCAAATTGTAAAGGAAACCATTCGGTTAACCTAAACCGAACCAAATTGATTTCACTCGCTCGGTTACCCTAAATCGAACCAAATCTATTTCTGGACATCATCTATACTATTAAATCTCTACTATTAAACTGATAATTATACCCAAAATAAGGAGTTCTAAAATAAGAGTATTGGTTTTCTTTTATGATTTCTGCAACTGAATTAACTTTCCGAACAAATGGAAATAATAAATAGGGGTCATCAAATTTGAAATATTAATTCTATACTTACAACTCACCAAATCAAACCCGCAAAACCATACATTATGAAACCGAGCAAACCCGGTAAATCTTTAAACCGAATGAGATATACTTATATAACCAAAATATAACTCACCAAATGAAAACGTGCAAACCCCGTAAAACGACATATATGTATGTTATACTGTCAAAACACATTGAAGTTGGTTTGAGCAAGACTAGCTCAGGGTCTGTATCTAACATGAAATTATAACAATTTATATACATAATTATTTCGTCCAGCACGTATATATTCAAAATGGGAATCCTTACTCATCATCACATATATCACAAACATACCAAACTTTTATTTACATAATTACCGTATCAATATTTAAAAACATTTTTAAAAAAATACAACATCCCGTGCTTCCCAAGTACGGGTCAGGATCTAGTATAACATTAAAACCATAAACTATATATAATAGATTATGATGGTTATCGAGTAGTTTGTTACTAAAAGCGAAGATCCAAAAATTAGGAAAGATTAACTTTTTGTAAAGTTTATTAGTACATATCCAAAAAAATATTCCACCAAAATAATAAGGGTCAATTAGCTGAATATTACTAATGGGAGTCATAATAGAGGATATAGCCATATCCAAACATTAATTAGAAATCTGACCAATGGTCATGTGAATTTACGTGTAAGGGCTTAGTGATTTAAGCGGGAAGACATTTCGGAAACCGGCTGCGAAGGGAATTGTGATGATGTGGCCGAATAGTTAAAATCAAGTATTACACCACACAAATTAACCTTGAACAGAAACAACTCTGTCTCTCTTTTAATACCCACATAATTTTACTGGAAACATAAAACAGTCAAATCTCTATCTTAACCATTAATAAGCTGATTACATTAAAAATAAAGAGTTTATACCATTATATGTGAACATTAGTCACTCTCATTATCTTTAAAAGGCCCCAAACCATATGAGAATACACAGACTGTACTGTAAACATTAAACATCTTACGTACTCACTCTGTATTTTACGGTGTCGACAATGACTGAAGACGAAGACGGTGGTGCAGTTAATACGGGAACATTAAACCCTCAGGTTAGGAACTGTATGCCGTTGCTGGTTGAATCGTGTAGTTAATCAATATAGTACAATATATCGTTAGCAGTGGCGAATCTACTAACACGGATACGGTGTCATGTGACACCATAACAATTTGTAAACAAACTTTTTTGGGTTAAAATATCATTGGTTTTGTGAGATTGCATTGAAAATTCCTCCTTATGACCCCCTAAGAAAGAGTTCGAAACTCCATATGACACCATAATAAAATTATTTTTTTGTTTGATTTGTTTACTGACACCGGTGAAAAAAAATTCTACATTCGCCACTGATCGTTAGTATACACTAGCTTAGGAAACAGTACAGATCTGTAATTTATGTTGATATACCATTTAATGTAGCCGCCTTATACTGAGTTTAACATCGCCTCTTGATTCCGCAGTTGTATCTTCAAGATGAGGTGGAGTTACTTCTCGGGACGTGGAACAGAGAGGACAATGGGAAGTGGATCTTCGAACACGACCCAATGCTAGCTCCCAAAACCATTCAACTTCAGACAAAACTCTCTTATGCGGCTCTTGTCTCGCTCGTGAAAGGAACACTTCACCTTCTGGCGAAAAATATATCCATCAAACTGGCGTATCAATATCCACCATGGATGGCAATAGATGATGGCGATGGATCCACCCCACAGTACATAACAGATGACCACAAAGTTGAGGTATTTATCCAGATGAGGCGACACGTCGAGGAAGTAAACCTCTGCGTCACGGTCACACGTCATATCGGAGCTATGATGGCAGATGATGAGCGGATACGTTGTAGTCAGTATCAACAACCACTTACAACAGCGGAAGATGATGGGATAGGTGGTCAGTCGGACGGAGAAGGAACCGATGAAGAGTGGCATCGATTTGCAATGTCCAAAACTCCACTAACAGCTCCGCTCACCGCTCCACTAACCGCTCCTCAAGGAACGAGAGCAGAGGACGAGCAAGTCGTTCCAACTCTACATGGTGAGAAGACAGTCCCAGGACATAAGAGAGGCAGAGACGAAGGGATTTCTATTCGCGAAGGCGAACCCATTATCCGTCTATCCAATGTCGAATGTGATCCTCGTGATGAAGGGAAGGCGATTGCGGCAGATTTTGAAAGCGATTCAGACAGCGACGGTGACGATGCTATTGTCCCGTTTGGCGCAACAGTCCTGACCATGTCGTAAGAGCAGGTCCAAGAACGCATGGTGCAAGAAGGCAATTGTTCTCCAAGGACGAAGGCACGGAAGGAGAAAAATCAGAGGAGCCTTTCCCCGGTGATACTTCATCTGACACGCCGTCTGGAGCTAGAGAAAATATCCCATACAATCCATGGGGACGATTCGACGAAGCGTTACACTATATCCTTTGCGATATCAGTGCCAATCCGGCCATGTTAGGCAGGGATGCTCCACCAGTTTTCCCCATTGGCGTTGAAGATGGTAAGCAATTCTCTGTATATATATAACTATTCCATAAACGGAATATGGAATAGAATCCTAGTTATCATACTATAATTGGTCGCGGTATGGAACAACGGTGTCAGTATATTTGTTTTCCAATATTCATCTAGCGTATTTGCTTACCCTGACTTTTTGTTTTGCAGCTGTTGATTCAGCGCTTGCCGACGTGCGTTATGAGGGTGATAAACTTTTCGTTGGTCGAGTATTCAAGTCGAAAACGGATTGCAAACTTAAGATCGCTATTCATGCTATCAATAGGAGGTTTCACTTTCGCACAACGAGGTCAAGCCCAACATTTATGGTCATGAAGTGCAGCTGCCGAACATGTGAGTGGCGTGTTGATATACCTCTAATTTACCCACTTTTTATACTGTTTTAGCATTGTTTTCTAATGGTTTTTGGCAGGTTTTCTATCTAAAAAGGTAGTTTTACTGTGTTTATAGTGTCTAGAGTCTAAACAGGTGAAATGATGCATTTTGGAGCAAAACCATAGGATTTGCACTTCAAGCAGCTCCATGCACAAGCACCAACTTTAAGAGGGCCCAGAAAAAGATCTACTCAATGGATTTCATCAAGACCAGTTCCCTGCGTGCTCTGATTGAGTTAACTTTCCAACGCAATTGGAATGGCCTAATTTGGATGAGTAGAAAAGGAGTTACAACCAAAAGAGTGAAGACTGTCCAGACGGCTCTATCGAGAATCAGCGCCCAACCGCGCAGTCCGGCTGGCCGAGGAACGAATGTTCCGCGCTCGGCCAAATCTCGTCCGTCCGTCTGAAGTCTCGGCCAAAGTCCAAAACCGTTCGGCCGCGCGCAAGTCACGACCCGGGAAACTATTGCCCGCGGTCGGCCACGCCACGCCACGACCGCGCACGACCAAACCGCGCGAGCCGGGAGTAACGCCTCGCGGCCGCGCAACTCATCTCGCGTACCACGCACGAACGCGCCGTCCGACCCGGAAACTACGTTCTGCGTCCGGCCAAGATTCACCGTTCCGACTCGGCCACATACCGATTGTCCGGCCGATCGTCCCGCACGACCGTCCCAACGCCGCGGTCGACCCGAAGCCCTTTTTGAAGCCCAAACTTATGTTTTCAAGCCCGGCTTAACCCTAGCCGCCTCTAGAAAGACCTAGCACTATATATATGGATTTTTAGCCTCTTGAGAAAGAGAGCCGCCCTGTATTTCGATTTCCTACTCTAAGTTTTATTGCAATCATGTTTTCTTCATCTCTATGTGTGTTTGCTTTGATCATGTCTGAGTAATCCACTAGTTAGGTTGCTAGGGTTACTATTCAATGAGTTGCTTGCATGATCTTTGATTTCAATGATTAGCTAGGGATTATATTAGAGTCTTTGTCTCGTCTTGTGCACTTAACTAATGCTGATTGCTTTACCGCGCATCTAGTAATCCGATCTTAGGTTGATTTGAGCCTCGACAGTGCTGTATCATTCGCCGGACATATTCTTTGACAAGCTAGGTTTCTTAGACTGCGAAAGTTGATCTATCTATATCTAGTGACCATGCCATGGGTTCAAGAGCTGGTAGTTATGCACTACTGCCTGTGTACTTGTACTTACTGCAATATGCAAACCCGGGAAGTATTTGTGTGTTGGAGCATGAGGTGGATACGACCGCTCAACTGCGTTTTAAGTACACCTTCGTCGCTTATGGTGCATCAATTGCTGGCTATCCTTACATGCGGAAAGTTATTGTAGTTGATGGCACCAGTCTGAAAGGCCGTTTCGGTGGATGCTTGATTTCGGCATGTGCTCAGGATGACAACTTTCAAATCTTCCCTCTCGCATTTGTTGTGGTAGATAGCGAGAATCACAGTTCTTGGGAATGGTTTCTGG